TTTCTCTTCCTACACATATTCATTTCCATCTTAACCTGTTCTTCTATGGTGTTTAGTTCCTTCTTTCATAGAGATTACGGCTTTTAAAAATCTTAGTTATGCAAGCAACATTCAATTGCGTTTGTTTTCTTTTTCTTTTTTTAATTTAATTATTGTTCAAGTACAGTTTTCTGTCTTTTACTCCCATCCCAGCCCACCTCCCCAGTGCTCCCCACCTCCCTCCCATTCCCCCCCCACCTTAGTTTTTGTCCATGTGTCCTTTATACTTGTGCCTGTGAATCCTTCCCCTTTTCCCCTGAAATTCTCTCCCCTCTCCCCTCAGGTCCCTGTCAGCCTGTTCTGTATTTCAGTGTCTTTGGTTATATTTTGCTTGCTTGTTTGTTTTGTTGCTTAGGTTCCTGTTAAAGGTGAGATCATATGGTATTTGTCTTTCACCACCTGGCTTATTTCACTCCGCATACGGCTTTCCAGTTCCATCCATGTTTTCTTATTTCTGTATTAAATTATGTATTCTTCTAAATCTTCAGGCTGATTTTGCAGTTCTCGAGTTTACACAATATTTTAATAGGCCTGCCCTAGACTTGTTTTTTTTCCTCCTGGGATGAGGATACCATGGTTTTGACCCACACTGTCCAATATTGTAGCCTGTGGCCAGATGTGGCTATTTAAATTTAAGTCAATTAAAATTAAATAAAAGTGCCCTGGCTAGGTGGCCAAAAATGACAAATGCCAGGAACAAAAATCTCAGCGGATTGAGAAAATGATCCTGAGAACAACAGTTTTGAAGCTGGTTTTTTACACTAAAATCAAAGGAGGAGATGTAAGGAGGGTTACGTGAAATCCTTCAGTGGTAGATAAAGGGAGTGGGAGAAAGAAAAGGAGGCAAATCTCTAAAACTGGATAAAAAGCAAAACAGAAGTCAAATCTGTCTTATACACCAGTGGGCACAAGATGGATAATTAACATTCACGGAGCGTGGAGATGCTGTGTGGGCAACTGGGCAGCAGTGAGGGGTCTCTGGTAGTGTGCCCTGGAGCTGCAGGCTGTACCCTAGGAAAGGAGACTACTGTGACATTCACAGGTCTGTTCATCTTAGACGCAAAGTAGACAGACTCACTTATAAAGACCAACCTTCATCAAGGAAGCTACAGGCCTAAAATGCACCCCCCCGCCATGACCTGCTTTTAGTGAAGAATTTCTACGTTCCGATCATCCTCTGAGGTTCAGATCACTGCCCTCTGAGTCTGTAGGGCCTGCCATCTGCTCTTCCCAGAGCTTGTCGGGTTTAGTATGTGGCCCCATTTTTGACCACAATAACCAAGAAAATAAGTCCAGTGCCAGGATTAATTCTTCACTGGAAGTAGAAGGGAAGAGAGCTAACACGACATAAAACCACCCAGTGATATGGAAGAAAAACTGGAGACACTTCCACCAAATCCAGAAGGAAGGAGGATGAGATAAAAATGAAAAAAGAATGGACAATAAGAAGTCCAGAAAGTGAGGGACCAGCAGATATGTACATAATTTCTTTCCCCAGAAATACTATTAAAAAATACTCAACAGTAAGCATTCCTTAAACTGGAGAATATCTGATTATTCACATTAAAAATAGTAACTACATAACAGACAAAGCTTGTTGAAATTTTAGAATTTGAAGGATGAGACAAGTCTTCTGTGTAGCTTAGAGTGTGCCTTGTTTATAGTTAATGTTTCCTAACAGAGAAGAACAAATGTGGAAAACAAGTTGTAACACTGACATAATTCACTAGCTTTGTGCTCCCTGGAGGAGACTGCCTCTGATACATTCACAATAGGTAACAGGGCATGAAGTCCAATTTCTTAAAAGATGACTTATGATGTTCTCTATCTTGAGTTTCCATCCTCACTCAAGGGGCTGCATTGGTTTGTCACAGCCAAGGTTGGGTTGCACTTGGAATTACATCCCCAGGTAGTTAATTGTTAGAACCCAAGGGCAAATATTGTCCCCCAGTCAGATTTGTTGTGACAGCTCCTTTTTTTTTCTTCCAAGGCCATTTTTCAAAATTGTTCTCTCGTGGCCTGACTTTGGGGGGGGGCAGGGGGAGACCACGGTCTTGTGTAATGGTGATGGATCTCGGGTGTTAGAACAAGTTACACAACCCTGCATTTTTGTCATTCTAATGACTATTGCTGGACAAGGGGAGCTTACTTCCCTGCCAGATATTTATACAAGCCACTCAGAGGCTTGATACAATGCAGATGGTGATAACCTTTTACAACACCAAGTTCATATTCAGTTTTTCCTTGGCAGCAAAGTTTTTGCCTCATTCGATATCCTGGACCCCAGAAGTTCTATTTCTTAAATGATGTAAAATATTTCTGGAACACTAAAAAGGAATAAGGGCTAGGCCTCTGACACGTTCCACAGAAATGACCACAGGTCTATTTACGTCTTAGATCTGCAGGATGAAACAGATTTTTCTTGAGTTATGTTTTTATTCAAGTACAGTGAAGTGCCAAGATTGGGCAGGGGGCAAGTGATTTTCCATACACTATCCACTCCTCCTCCATCTTTAAAGTGCATTCCGTACCCAGATCTTGTGTAACTCTTTGCTTGGGCTGCTAGTCCTGCCATTATTATGCTTTGAAGCTTAATACATTTCCTTGCCAACAGATATAACGGTTCCTGTAAATAGTCACCCATTCCCCACAAGAAGAGAAGGAAAATAGGATCACTGCTTAAAGTGTTGTTTATGTAAGAAGTAGCACAGCAGGGAGTCTCCGCCAAATCCTAGCCTGGATGTTGAGGAGTATTATTGATGATGGGCTAAGATTAATAGTACAAAATAGGATTTGTTTATGTCAGTAGGACAATAAAGACACAAAAAGGAAATGGTCTTTTTTTGTACAAAGCTGTACAAAATACTGTGCATATGTGTGCATGCGCACACACACAGGTATTTCAAAAATTCCTACTCACTCAAATAACTCTCCGCAGTGTATCCTAGAGTTTATCCACTCCACTCATTCATTCATTGAGTCATTGAGTAAATATTTATGAGCACATACTCTGGGCCAGGCACTGTCAAGAATATCATTCTGAAAATGAAGAACAATTGACTTTTTTCCTCTCTCTCCATTCCATCATTCTCACTGCTTGAGCGTCTCATGTACATTAACTGCCATGGGCTTGTAGGAGAGTAATAAGAATGAGCAAAAGCTTGGGGGAGTGTCCATGGAAGTTGGGTTGTGATTTCAGAGTGGAACCACTCAGAAAACAGAGTTTATCACTTAGTGAAGAGCAAGGACATTATAAACACAACTCACCACATCTTGGAGTGCTAGAACTAGGAGTTACCCTTTGAATACTGACATCCAGTTTTGGAGACAAATAAATTTATAGCTAGCTCATGTCATCCATAACAGATCATTGGATTTTTCCCCAGAGGTTGTACTGAATGAAAGAAGAACCTGTGTGTGTGTGTGTGTGTGTGTGTGTGTGTGTGGTCCAGTCCATTACAATTAATAGGACTTTTTGCCTGGGATGTGTACTAACCGAAAGTGTGTTTGTATATGTGTGTATCATACTTCATACATTTCAATTGTCATTTTTATTAATACTCAAATTACCTTCTATTTGACCACAAGGAGCTTCTTCAGCTGGTTTCTGATTCTCTTTGGCTTGCCCTTAGTAGTCTTTACTAGCTTATAGTCGTAGGTTTTTGGGAAGTAATAGGGTGAATTGAAGCATTCGAATATCTCTTCTTAAATCTCTGGCTGTCCAGATGTTCTCTAGGGTCATTTCTAGTTTAATTGCCTTTAAATTCAGGTTTCGAGGTTTTATCTTTAGCTCACAAACACTAAATAATTTGGTAAGGATTATTTGGATTATAATCTAATGACTATGTATTTATGAAGAATGCTTTGTATAAACATGAATTTTATAATCTAAGGGAACATAGATCTTATGGCTGAATCTTCCCTTAAAGCGAATTGAGACAAAGTTATTTTTTAAATCATATCATCTTCTCTTAACTTTAACAAAACACAGGAAGTAACTGTAACTCCTCTTGAGTACTTTCCGAATGTAGGGTTCTTACTGCCTAATAAACGTTGAATGCCTTCCAAAAACTTGCTATAAAATATGCTGTGATGCTTCTTCACCTTCCTTATCCAATTATTATGAAAAGCAACAGCCTGCCATTTACTTATGGTACCAGATTCACCGCCGAATTACTTGTGCCTGTCCAGTTTGATGTGACAAGATATCGATGGCAATGAACAGATGCCTTTTAAAAAAGGTTTTATTTTTTCTTTTATCTGTAAAGAAGAGCGGCAAAAACATTTATAATGCATAACTCCCTTGTCCTAAAACAATAAAGTCCTAGTGTCAGGTTGAGTAGACCAGCATTTTCTCATGAAGACAGGACTTCACCACCAACAGCCAATTCTGTGCGGATAGGGGGTGATCCTAATAGAAGTGTTGAGTCGATTCTACAAATACTGCAGGAACAATGGGAAAACAAATCTAGAAAGCAGGTTGATCATTATTAACTCTGGAAAAGATATTCACTTAAATTCTCCTCCAGTTAGGTGTTTAGTGCATGGTCATGAGGGGGGAGTGCAGGGTAGAGAGAGAGAGCAGGAAAGGACAAGAGAGGTATGCGTGCTTGAAAGTAGATACCTGGGAGTCGGATTTGGTTCATGTTTTGAGAGCCTGAAAATAAAAAAAAAAAGTTTAATGATTGTGATAATATTAATGAAAGCTCACTCCATACACATTTGCTATTCTCATTAGCCAGCTCCATGGCAGTGCTGCGTTTCAAAGGCTTCTAAGGTTCATTGTGGTTCTGTGAGGCCGTTGTAAGCTCTTGTCTGTGCCTATTTCTCTCGGTGATCAATGTCCCTTTCCTCACTCTGGTGAAATGCTAATGAGCGCCACAAATACTGTTTTACATAAGAAGGGAAGCACATAGTAGGCGAATGCACTACAAACTCATACTGTCTCTGTTTCGTTACAGCAAATTCTTCATCATTCCAGGGAAAACGCCACAAAAGTTATATTTCTCATCACGGACGGCTATTCTAATGGGGGAGATCCGAGACCAGTGGCAGCGTTGCTGCGAGATTTCGGGGTGGAGATCTTCACCTTTGGCATATGGCAAGGAAACATTCGGGAACTGAATGACATGGCTTCCCCGCCGAAGGAGGAGCACTGCTACCTGCTGCACAGTTTCGAAGAATTTGAGGCTTTAGCTCGCCGGGCACTGCATGAAGGTAATGGAAACCTCACAGCATAAGACGGTGCATTGCAATGGGGGTTTCTTCTCTCTTACTGCTCGAGACCCACCGGAGGGTAACATCACACCCTACGAGGTCTTCGCTGAGTGTGATGCCTGGGTGCCCTTGGTGTATCATGAGATGTGTTGAACTTATAAATAGAGATGACATTCTGACCTTGCAACAATAGTGTATTTTGTTTTGTTTTTAACAGCTGTGATATATTTTCACTAAAATATCCATATGCTCCCACCAGGAAGTGTTAGCATCAATGGAATGAACCGAGGTGTGTTTGGAGGCCACACACAGAGTGGGAAGTCTTGACTTAGATGCATTTACAGTTACCCAGAAGGATGAAGTAACCGTTCAGGGACAGGCATAGTGGATCCCACCAGGATGTTTCCAGAAACACCCATGAAGAGATAGGGACAGGAAATGCTTAACACACACTTCTTGACCCGACAGTTGGAAGCTACATAAGCTCTCTAAAAGATGAAGAACATTACCCCAACAAGAAATAAAATCAGCAAATCCATTCATTAGAACTCTCGCTACCCATTTATTAAGACGTTTAGTTGTCTGGCTGATGTTGGATGAACTTCCAGGCACAATGGGGGCATGTGGCTTGGTGAGTGACAAGAGAAATGTGTAGATGGGGAGAAGGTGACAGGAGCTCTAGCCTCAGACAAAGCCACATAGCAGATCAGGCTTGATTTGGGCAGGGGTCCATGTGAAAGAGTCACTCTGGTGGGTAAATCACGGCAATACGAGGTTTCAAGCAACCAGCAGTGTTCATAATAAGCAGCTCAGCCCTACTGTAGCTGCAAATGAAGAGGCTAGGGCGAGACCTCAGGCTCTCTGTGGACGCAGCAGAAGAGTCCCCCTTAGCCATCTAGGGGCTGAGTGGCTTTTCCCAAATTATTTAACTTTTGTACTCCTCAAGTTTCTTGTTAACAAAACAGGGAATGAGAATAGTACCCAGTACATAGGATTATTACAAGAAGTAAATGGGTTAATACGTATAACATGACTTTAAATAGTACTGAGGGCCTGTGATACGAAGCCCTTGATAACTGTCCATTATTATTCCCTTAAATTACTTATCTAACATCTACGAGCTTCAGTTTGCTCTACTTTTAAAATGGAGTTATTATATAACATAGTTTGATCGGGAAGATTGAAGAAAATATTTAAAATTTCACCAAGTGTAGTGTTCAGCACATGGCAGTTCAGCCACTGGAGTTTTTCATCATTTCTCCTCTTCTCACCGAAGAGTGGTATGTTGATCAGCAGCACAGCGGGGCTGTGTTACTAGATGGAATTATGAAATTATGAGTGTTGTGAGCTGTGCTGGAGAGGACTGATTTCAAGTCCTCCCTTCCCTCTGTCCTGTGGGATCAGGGCCTTCTGCCCGAGTACAAGTTGACCCAGACACTGGGTGGTTACAATATCACAATGGAGTTTTTGAAGGCATTACTTTTATTATAATAAACTAACATTTAGAATGTGTAATACTCTGTTTGAATTTCCAGATTCGGTAAGGAAAGATCCTGTTTTTCTGAAAAATTATGCTTAGATCAAAGGCAGTGAACCTCCTTTCCTCAACCTCTATGTTCTCTGAAGTTACTTTCAATCCGCTCTTGGTCTCAAGACCGCCTGTGTTTCTGGCCATTCTAAATAGACACAGGTTCCAGAATGATAGCTTTCCCCGTGTGTAACTTACTTACTTATCTCTCTCAGCCCTGAATGCCAATGCACCAGTCTTGAGAGCTAGATTTTTCTTGCTTCCTACGTTGCTCCTGCCAAATAAACTTGTGACTGAATGTCTCAGTGCTCCGTTACAGGGCCTTTACCAACACCACGGTCCACTGGCTGGGGCCTCAGTAGGGTGCCCGGTTGTGCCGGTGTCTTCTCCGTGGAGTGGTCCCTTTACTTTTTCCCTACCTGTCATGCAGAGTCTTCAGGCATAGAGGCGGATGTGCCATAATTGAGGACATCGCCAGCCTTGTTTCCAGGTGTTCGATTGCAGTCCATGTGTCTTGCTGAAACTTATCCATTTAAATTCCTACTTGGGACCTATGGCCTGTCTAGCACCATGGACTTAGCACTGAAATTTGGGCTAAGACTCTTGAACTTCTTCAACAGAGTAAATGGAACTTATTGTTTGCCCAATTAAGGCCATGCATTCTGCATCAGTCATATTCCACCGTACCCCACCCTGTAGAGTCACTTTCTGAACAGATCTGAGTTGTTGAACTCCCAGCATGCCTCACTTCAGAACATGGTTCAAGTACATCCATGGGATCTCCATTCACATAAAGCAGGATGGTTTACTTAAAACCGAGAGATAAACCAGATCCTAGTCTATCATTCAGCTTGTGTGCTGCTGTTATTTAAGTCTTCAAACGACTATACAAGTGATGGTATTTAGTCTTGGGCCAGTAGCTCACAGCAACATCCTCAAGCTGCAGTCAGGGTTGTAGTTTTATTTTTGTATTTGGACACGAATTTTGGAAATCCCGAGGCAGTGAAGCACTGTGGCGTGGAAGCCAGAGGAATGACCTGCAGGACCGACTGCATTACTTCCTGCCGCATCTGGAGATTCCTCCCTGAAGTACTTAATTTTCTGCCTGACCCGGCGTGGCCTCGAGAACTTACGAGCTTCCAGACTGAAATAACTGGATGAAACCTATTCCCAGTCTGTGGTAGTGCAAGTAACACACATTCCTCTTTGGGTGGGAGTGGGGGGCAGTTGGGAATTCAACAGATGTGAAAAGACATTTTCTCCATCTTGCATTTAAATTGTAGCAACTAGAGCTGTAACGTGCAACTCTTCATTCATTTTTTTTTTTATTACCCTCTGTCATGGCCAGATCTGCCTTCCGGGAGTTTTATTCAAGAGGATATGTCCCATTGCTCCTACCTGTGTGAAGCCGGCAAAGACTGCTGCGACCAAATGGCAAGCTGCAAGTGCGGGACGCACACGGGGCAATTTGAGTGCGTCTGTGAAAAGGGGTATTACGGGAAAGGTCTACAGTATGAGTGCACAGGTGAGTCTCCGGTCTGTCTAACTTTATCAGTTATGTGTTGCTGTGTCAAAAATGATCCCCAAGCTCAACGGCTTAAACCACTAAGGACAAACTACTCACGAGTCAGCTGGGCAGTTCCTTTGGTCTCAGCATGTGGACATGTATTTGTCATTAGTGGTGAGTTGGGCAGGATCTTAGCTGAGTTCTCTTACCTGTTTGGGGACCAGCGGGCTGGAGTCTGGTCTAAAATGACTTTGTCTAGGACCACTAGGCGGTCCATTCCGTGGCCTCTCAGCCTCGGTGTGTTCATGTGGTGGCTGAGTTCTAAGAGGAAGAATGGAAGCTTGCAACCTACCCTTCAGGCCTGGATTCGGAACTGGGAGGAGGGGGACTTGGGTCTCTTGTTTGTCATCAGTCAACAGCCGAATCTGTCCTCTAGGCTCTTAAACCAAAATATGCCTCAGTCTCTATGGATTGAAGAGAATGGGATTCTGGTCCTAAGGCCCCATTAACGTGTGGGCCTATCACAAAATAAAATGCAACATTTGCTTGATGGCCTTTTAGCTCTTCACGAGTCTCCAAAAAGGGACTACAAAAAGCTGTAAAAGTGACATCCCCTCAAAATGGAATTTACTTCATTGACATTTGTTGTTTTACTTCCCCTAGCTTTAAAACATCAAGAAGATCTTGATGTTTTAAATATTTTCTTAGAAAGGCAAGAAGAGCAACTTGGGATTCTTGTGATATGCATTATATTTTAGGAAATCTATGATATTTAGAAGTAAAATGTAGTTTTTTCTGTGATAGCATTTGTTTGTTCTTTTTTTACCTAAAAAGTAACATTTTTTAAAATAACTTGAACAGCTCTTCTGTGATTTGCTATTTGGGAAAAACTCATTCTTGTGGAAATGAACACCCCCAGCAGCCTGTAGGAGCAGCAGATTGACTGTATACTGTCTCCCGTGGTCTGTCATTGCTGGTGTCCTGTGAACATTATCCTGACCTTTGGAAGGTCAGCCTGCTCTACAGCCCGGAAACCTGGTTCTCCCCTGTCTACCTGACCCGCTCTCTCTTCCTTCTTCTCTCGTCCTCCTCATAGGACATTCCCTCTTGTGCTCTTCTTTTACTGCCTTCTAACCTTGCTGCCCCGTGTCTCCCCTTAATTCTTCATCCCTTCCTTGGCTCTGATCCCAGCTTGCAGGCACATCCTTCCTGGGTCCAACCGTTCATGCTCACCCGGCAGAATCGCTCCTTTCTTGGCCCTGCTCCTACTCGACCCAGCAGGACTCCTCATTTAAGCAGGAAAAAAAGGGGGATCTGCCTAACTGCCTCTGGGTTGGCAAAATGCCTCCCCTTGAATCTTCCCACACTTCCATTAACGGACCCTCTTGGCACTGTCCCCGGCACCTCCTCCCCCTGTCCCCCACCCTAGCCTACCAGACACAGGCAGAAGCTCTCATTTCCTTGCTCCATGCTGTAGTCAGCATGTCTGCTCTCCGTGTGGTCCCGACCGAACTGCTCCCTGCCTGCCAACGCGCCACTGCCGCATGGCTGCCCAGCAGCCCCCGCCACGCTGGGCAGCAGCCCCCACTGCTCCATGGCACTATAATCCTGCATCCCAGGGGACAAGCTGTGGGAAGAGGGAGGCGGTTCACAAACCCATTGCTCCTCATTACACAGGCAGCAGTGGCTGTTACCAAGAGAACGTTCCAGGCTGAAAGGCACAGTGGTCTGTGACACGGATGAGTCTGGACAGGCCCGTCAGGAGAGCCCCAGGAGAGAGCACGGAGCGCGTTTGCTGCTGGTTCTAGCCAAGGACACTGAGCACAGAAGGGTTCATTTATCCACCCCTTCTTTTAAATTAGTAGGCCTCAGCTTAATATTTTCTTATGTGCATGATATACATGAGATATAGTTGCCTCCATATAAATGTTCAAATTGTCATCTCCAGCCTCTGTTGCTAAGGTATTAGGAAAAGTGGTATGGGAGCTCCAAGGTGCACACGGGGACTGTGTATAGTTGTAGGAGACAGCGCTCATTGTCGGCTTCTCCTGCATGCCAGGAGTGAAGAGGAAAATAAATAAATCATACTCCTCTTGTGGCATGAGAGACTCACGACCAGGTCTTTTTCTTTTGGAACGACAGAAAGAAATATTAGCTCTAATTCACACAGTACTGAACACCTGGAAGCCGTGAGCCCCTTCAAAATGTGTTTAGTTGGCAAATGTTACAGAGCCCCTTCTCCACGCTAAGCCCAGGCATTGAATCCATGCCGGGCTTCTGTGGTGGGCAGAGAGACACGGTCCCTACCTTCTCAGTACTTACAGTCGAACCACACAGAGCCATTTGTAAATGCAAACTGGGATGTGCGCTATTAAATAAAAATGCCTGTGGCGTAAAGAAGGGCTGCAGGGGCGGGTGGGCTCAGATCGGACCTTCTAAGCTGAAGTGTGAAGGATAACCAGACCATCGCTATTTATTTCTGCAGGAGAGGATGTTACCTTTCATTCCAAATAGTTGGAATTCTGCATGTCTGTCCTCATTGTAGAAACAGTGCCTTTCAGAAGCAAATCATCCCCTTAGAGAGCCAAAAGAAACCTTGGAGATTATCTGCTCTAAACCCCTCATTCTACTAGAGGAAATTGAGGTTTCAGGAAAGCTGAATATTTTGCTCAAGATGGCATATCCAGCCATCAGCAGCGACCGGGAAGGGATGCAGGATGCTTTTCTCTAAGTCCTGTGTTATTTCCAAGACACCACACCATTTACTCTGCATTTTTGAACATAGCTTCTTGTGCACATTGCTTTTCCATTGACTCTGCACTGTGCTCCAAGTGTTTAAAAACAAAGGAAGATCTGGCTCAAATTCATCTTCTGCTGATTATAAACTCTGTGGCTTTGGGTGATTAATTTCTTCTGATGCTCCATTTCTTTTGTAAAATCAGCTTAGTAATGGCGTAGTTTTATATATATATGTGTGTATATATATATATATATATATATACACACACATACACACATATACATACGTATGTATGTGTAAGACATCCGTATATAGAAGTTTCTGGATGTGTGTATGCATATACAGGGGTGGGCAAAAGGAGGTTTACAGTTGTGAGTATGTGAAATAGAGTTTATTCTTGTGTTATTATTTATGAATTATTGTCTCATTTTCCATAGGAACAACTGTGAACCTACTTTTACCTACCTCATGTATACAGATGTATATATGTGTTTATAAAGAGAGCTATATAGAGGTATAGCTAGGTAATTGAAAGAATATATTCTTTGAATGCTTAGGGTAATATCGGGCATATTGATTTTCAGTCAGTGGTAGTTTTTAATCACTATGAAATATATACAAGAAAGCTAGTGAAAGAACATTAAAATGATTATCCTCAAGATCCCTGAGGATAACTGACACCACGTCTTTTGTAAACTTTACTCCTCTAAGCTAGTCTAGTGGCCCTCACCTGAGAAACTGCTCTGGGGAGGATGAGGAAGATCTGTGCATGCAGGTGAATGCCATCGAGAAAGCTGGCACCTGCCAACGGCGACCTGATGAGTGTCCGATGGAAGTCAAGACACTGACTGAGAGGAGGCAGTGGGATAATGTGCCATTGAGTATTGAGAACAGTAGAGACTGTTTACCTTGATCAGGGAATGAGTATGTGCTGGAGTGAATTATATTTGCTAATTAATTTTATGGCAGAGCAAAATACTAGAGCTAAGCATAAGGGTTTTTCTCATTATTCATTTGGAAGAGTAGAAAACTCTGTCTCATGATCATGTAGGAATTTTGACCAGAAATGGAATGAACACTTCCCAGTTCCTAGCCCGGAGTCCTTCCTTTATGCCAGACTGTCTGGAAGGGTGCCCAGGAGACCTCAGGGAAAGCTGATGACCTCAATGTTTCTGTGATCTCCTCCTCCTTTTCCCCTCATTGTTTTGGGGGGTTGGCGCTCTGGACTCCGTGGGTCCTCAAATAGTGACCCTCCAACCTCCTGTCCAAGGCTGTGGCTTTACTTGTAGTGGCCCGAGCACCATTGTCATCAGCAGCAAGTGGCTGCTCCATGTCAGGGCCCTGATGCGCAGAAAAATTTTCGTGATTGTGGATTTGTTCCATGTTGTGAACATCTTCACTGGAATGCAAGACTGGTGATTATTTGTTAGGAATTACTAACAAGTCATACTTTGCCAAAGAGTTCAAATTTGTTAGGCCATTAGGATGTTTGGACTGGTTTTTTACTTCCCTTGGCTCCAAACTTCTTTGAGTTGATTTCTAAATAATCATGTGCTTTTTGCTGGTGGTCTTAAAGAGTATGTGCTAAGAGGTTTCACGGGAGCAAGGATTGTATAATAAATAGATAATTCAAGGTAGAATGATGCTTTGTTCAGGTACAATGAATTTGTTCAAGTATATCTGCTCAAGCAGTTGTATAATGGCACTGAACACAGAAACCATATTTGACAGAATTTAAATAATGCTAAAAATGTCCTAGGAAAAAAATTTGAAACAGTTGTAATACTTAGACAGTCACCCCTTATGTGGTTCAGCCTAAGAGAGGCATTACAGTGAATGAAATCTACTTCAGTGACCAAAATACATTTCAGGATAGTATAAGCCCTTACTTCGTTTTCTCTAATGCCATAATGGAGACATACAGAACACAGCAATTCTTAAAATCCCCCTTTTCTCATCATTCTTTCCCTGAGTAACTGTAACTCTTCTGCCCCTATACACACACACACACACACACACACACACAAGCATGGGCACACATACCTTGCCACCCAAGCCTTAGCTCAAACCTGTCTTAATTCCTTAGGGAATTCACTTCCTGTCTTCACTCCTCAGGGAATGGGAAATGGAGAAAGTCCAGGAATATCTGCATATCCATATTCTTTTTTTGTTGTTGTTGTAAATCAATGCTTTATAAAAGGCCTATGATGTTTTAAAAAAAAACCTTTACATAACTCGGTTTCATTAATCATGCAAATATTTTGTATGATTCAGAAAT